TTATGTTATGCTTTAACAATATAGAGATATGAAAAGAACGTTCTTTTATTAGTACAGCGAAAAAGAAATAGAGGCTATCGTCTAGTGAAGTGGAATTTGTTTCTTTCCTGATGCCTTCATTCAATACCGTACGAGCCGCTGAGTCTTGTATCAGACAAAAATTGAAAAATGAACGAAATTCATGCTTAAAAATGGAATAACATTTAGAGTGTGTAAGATGCCAAAAATATCTTGAGCCTACTTCGCACTCCTGGAACATTTGTCAGAAAAGGGACATTCATCCCGGTATCAGTTGATGTAACTAAGCTCAACACTCAGTTCAATAAAGCAAGCATGTATGATGTTTGCATATGCATGGAATGAAGTATTCGCTTAATGTGTGACAGCGTTGTTTAAAGCAATTTAAAAAATAAAATTAAGTTGAAAATTTTTTAGCTTGATTTTTATCTTAGCCCTCAGTCAGTCAACTCAGTTCTCTAAGCATAATATGAGATATAAAGAAGTGCAAAATTTAATGATTTTAGATGATTTCCGATAAACTCTTTTGTTATTTGTGCCTCAACAACCCAATCTCCTATTCACATCAAAGAGCAGTTCCGTAACTCGAATTTTATTTTTGTCCTGCTTTCTTGGGACTCCCGATTTAAAGCTTAATGTAAATTTAAGGGATCATTATAAGGAGTATTAAAGAAACCAACCATTCCATCTTTCCAATTTTCAACTGAGTGATTCAACAACATAATTTCAAAATTAATTATTCAGAAAATGCAGTTCACAATTTCATGATACTTTTCTGTCAGAAATAATGAAGCTAATGGCAAGAACAAGTTCAAATCTAAACAAGAATAAAACTGCTGTCATTTTTTGCATGTACTCAACTTGAAAATTTATTTCCCACTATTACACTCTTAGAGAAACAATGGGAAGATAACATCCATGCAATTATACTACAACCACTTTCCAAATACAATTCCTACCTTCAAATCTTTTTTTTTGGATTGACAGTCTTATCATGAAAATTAGAGTCCTGGAGTCTCTACACTCATTCCAATGAGGTTTAATGAGTGGAAAGAGAAGGAATGAGATAGATGTCTCTTGAGAAGCCGAATATGCACAATAAAACAAACCAGTGCATTATAATAGCATGAATGTGGTATGTGTTATCAACCAAAGTTAACAAACAGTTGATCAAATGAGTCGACTGGAAGGCATCAGAAAAGGAAAGGGAGCCAAAAAAAATAGAGATGACATCTTCAAGGCTTTAAAAGAAATTGAGCAACTGACTGATTCCATATATACATAATGAACATCGCTATAAGGTCCTTGAAATCTCCAAATAGCATTTCTAAGACTGAAAAGTGAATAGGCATGTAGATTCTAGAATCCCGATATACAGTTTTCGCGGTAAACACCGCTTCGACGCTTCATACGCAGAATTCAAAGCATGTAGAAGCAGTGATAATCAAAATTTGGTAAATTTTTAAAAAATGAAATTTTAAAAGAAGTATTTAAAAATCTCGCAATTCGTTTGAAGAAGATGGGTTCTGTATTGCATCAATTTAGCAATTTTTTAGCAATAAAGTAACAATACATCGAAAATTTATGAAATGTATAATATAGAACGTTTCAGAGATGTTAAGATCAACCATCCAATATGTATTTATAAAGTTGCTGTCTCATTCAAACAAGAAATTTCTAGCTTTGTCTAGAAAAGTTGAAAAAACTGAAACTGTACAGATTAATGATGACCTTAGATTCATAAATCTAAAAGTAAGAATTCTTTCTGCAAGAGAAATCACACATTCTAAATACTCGTATATATTATACCTTTCCATGACAGTTTTACAGATTAAAACTTCATTCAGAATCTTAATTTATAACGTAATTTGAAATGGACAATTCTCCAGAAAAGTTCATGAGCCCTTTTTCTTCCATATATCTATTCTTCACAGCGACAGTCTAACATCTGAACCTTGTGAGCAATAGTCCAAATGATGACATATAAGAAATAGCGCAATGTAAAACGGTAAAAGAAGGTTTGTAATCAAAAGCGATTTCTAGTTCATCAAGATAACGGAGTAATTGTCTGATTTCAATTTTTAATTATTATTTCAGATAAATGAACCACTATTTATTCCCAAATAACTGTAAGAGATTTATCCAACAACAACATCGAGAAATCAAATAAGGAGGAAGACGTTGTTCAGGAAAATCTAATATCTCAGTTAGCAACAAATCTAGAGATCCGCGGCAATTGGGTAATTGAGATTTCGTGGTAATAAAGTAGCAATTATCAAAAGTCCATGAAATGTATAACATAGAGAAAAAATCATGAAATGTATGACATATCATTAAATTTCCTGAATTAAATGAAATTATGATAAACTGTCAGGCAAAATTCGATTATAAATGAATACGAAGTAAAAGAAGGTTAGGAAATCTTGGAAAATGCAGGAATTATATATACATTTTTTTTTTTCTTTCGCAATTTTTCCCTCCCAGAACGAGTTAACAAAATTAGCATAATGATCCAGAAACATGGAAAAAAAAGTGGGAGAAAGTGCAACAACTATCAATGTTAGGTTATTTTAGGATATTGTCGAAGTATTGTATTCTCTGAAATGTTTTAATATAATTAGGAATGCTGGCAAGGTGAATGATTTTTTGAGAGGCAGCTAATATCTTTACTACATTTCATTATGGGAGAAAATATGTTGGAAAAGACACCATGTCAATCCAGAAGGTTGACAAAACACTCCAACAGGAGCAGAGCTAATGATTTAATTCAAAATGACAAAGTAATTTGCAAAAAGTGATGCAGAAGTGATAACAATGACAAAAGAGATAACAGCAAAAAGATACAAACTAATTTCATTAATTTGAATGAAAAACTAATTTGAATGAAAAACAATGCGAAACTATAAAGAAGCTAAGGGTGCCCTCGACAACTGTAAGATATAACAGGCGACAGGATTACACTACAAAAGAGAATTGAACCTTTCACATCAAGAGGAGCACTACCATAAGTGACTAAAATGGGAGTGGACATCTGTCGTATATCTACATATCTAAGCAAAACTGAGACCGCTGTCTCCTTCTTGCGGTTTGTTTTAATAGAATACATTTTTATACTTGTTTTGGATTCTTCTCATAAAGAAATAAGAAAAAGGACGAATATGGTAGATTAATTAATCAACGAAGAGGCGTATAAACAAATTAATGATGGAAGTAAATAAATGACTGGATAATATCAAGAGAATGATGTGGGTTTTTGTACAGCATATAATCGAATAAAGTATGCAATCATTTCTTTTATACTCATCTGGCATTTATCTTTTCTACGAGTCAGTATTGTAGGGTATTAATTTTAGAAAGAAATAATGCAGGTTTTTCAGGCAAATCTGTTTCATTCATGGTTGGTTGCACTCGCATACGGAATTCTACAATCCGTTTGCTTTCTGATTTATAAACTATCCGGAAAAAGAAGCAATACTAGATAGATGTAACATTTCAATATCATTTTTTATCCCACTCCTACGTAAATATAATGCAAAAAATGCTGTGTTTACGGTTGAATTTTTTTAGACAAAAATTATTGCATCGATTATATACTAAATGAAGCAAAAGTCAGTTCATTTAATTATTTTAGGTAAATCGGATCAGTCGGAAGTAGTGATGACGAAATAGCAATTAATTCATTAATAACCGGTGGATGAGAGCTGGGAATAATAATGACAAGCAGAAGAGAGAGGAATAAATATAATCGGGCTAAAAGAAGAAAATTGAATGAGAAGCTTCCGTCTTTCAGCTGACTCTCTGACCATAGAATGGATATTTGAGTCAGTTTGGCAGACAAAAGATACACTTGCCATGTCAGAAAGCCAAGAGCCTATGTGCAGTAAGAGCCACAAATCATCGATTAGTACAAATTGTCATAAAATCATACTAAAAAAGATGCTGTTGAATTCGGATGAAAATCAATAATGAGTACTAAAATGTTCGGGGTTCGGACACAGTAGGATGTTTTTTTTTTTCAGCAGTAACTATCTATTTATTGAGTTTCAAACTTCCAATTTAATTCAGTTATTCAGTTTTGATATGAATCAAGCTTGTATGGGACTGTTGTCTTTCGGTGAAGGAAATAGATGTTTTCATAATTTTTGAGCATAAAAACTCAGAACTGTTTACATATCATAAAATTAATGTAAAAGATTACTATTACGATTATTTATAATTATTTTATTAGTGTGATCCATTCTAGCAAAAAATGATCAAAGAGCAATGGGATGTCATAGGTTGCACGAGTGCTAATTGACAACAATTCCTTCCGGCTTGTTTAAAAAGGAAATAAATGATAAATTTATAGCAGAGATTTATCAATTAGAAAATAGAGAAATATCAAAATAAAAATCAAAATACTTGGATGTTATACACCTTTTTCAAGTTATTTTAAAAGTAACATTACACTTTTACAGCTTATTTTTTTTGAAGTAATGCTACAGCTACTAGTTACGTACTCTCGAATTCTGCTATCTCCCGTTAACAAACTAACTCGGATGAATCTACCGCGGGATTAGTGTTTTCATTCTTTGTGCCACATATTTTGTGTCTCCCGCTCTTGGCATGACGACCGGTGAATATCGTGGTTACTGAGTGCTGCTATAATGGGAATTGCATTGGTAGTGAGCTTTTTGTGAATATCATCGTTTAGTCATTGTTTTTTATATATTACACAGATTGGTATACCGAAGAGAGGATCCGTAAAGATCCATAAAGAGAAGTTACTAGTAGGATGTTTCAGACTTGAACAGATCGATTTCTTGTTTTCCTAAACTTATCTTTCCTTTCTTTTCTTTTCTAATTGTATTCATTTATTAGCTGTGTTAACGGTTTTATTTTTCAGGCTAACTGGTTGTCAGTAAGTGGCATTACTGTGGCTGTGAAGTTATACACGAAAGGAATGTTTGAAATCCTGAAATTTAATTAGCTGAGTTGCAGATGCCAAAAGTTCAGGAGAATTAGTGAGTAAGAATGTCATCGTTGGTTCACCTACATTTACTGCTTATGAAAGAATTCATTGTTATTTGGCGAAGTAAGATATGGAGCATTATTGAAATAGCTATTCCGCTGGTCATCTCCGTGCCGCTCATCACCCTCGTCCTGCAGGTTATTCATTCTTTTAATTTTTATAAATAATGCTTCAAAAAAATCATTGAAGCATTAGTGATAAAAGATTGTTCAAACGATTTCAAAACATGTAGTGGGAAGATATGTATAAATGAATGTAAACAAGTCGAGAAGGGTAGATTTAGCCGATTTTGCGCGATTTAGAAATTTCTGGAACATACACCGGAATGATACATAACCATTTTTTTGTGTGATGACCGGAAGAGGTGCGTTAATGAATAGAATTTTTCCAGAATTCGTCACTTGTCAAACATGAAGCACAATTCTGGGAATCATTTCAAGTGACTGGAGATTGGAGAGATATAGATCGACGTCTGAGTAATATGCAGTCAATTTATAGTTATTGTGGTATGCTTAGTCGGAGAAGTTTAGGACTTGTATTCCCGTAAGTTCATGATTTCTTTTTCCTTTTGGTATTTTAAGATGTCTGTTCCGTGCTTCGCATTTATAGTTCTTAGTTCGATTTCTTTGCATTTTCTTAAACATATTTTTCAGTAACAATATTGATAAGAAAGAGATTCTGTGGGCAGCTCGCGAGATAGAATTTCGTTATTTGATGAATGACTCGGCTTCACATTCACACATCTACGAGTTGAATGTGAAAATATTTCCAACCGAGGCATCGATGATGAAAGCGTTGTTGGAGGATTACCATCGTTCTTCAATATGTACTGAATATATTGGTATGTGTGTAAATTTCATAATAACATCTGTACGAAAATATTAAACATATTTCTTTGTGGGGATTGGTTACTTCCAGCTCTGAAGAAAAAGTACTCTATCATCGGTAGTGTAGTTAAAAAAAACCCGTGGTATTATCTCATTTTAACATGGGAATTGGTCATGTCATGTTAGGTTAAGAGAAATCTTGTTGAACTTATTACGTTATTCAACACAGTTATGATTTTCCTTTCTATGTGTCACTAGTTTCTGTGGATCCGAGGTACGTGACTGTTTTACACCTAGGCTATTCAGTGCTTGCTTCAAAATCTTTCAAAACCGCTCTGGAATAAATGGGAAAGGGTTATAAATATTGCTAACAACAGCAAACTTATTTTTATTTCCAACGAACCATATATTCATTACTACCAATGCTCTCGAAATAAAGAATGATGTAGTAAATAAATTTAAGGAGCAGAAAACCAACCTGGAGATTAAAGCAAAAGTGAGGGTAAATGATAAAGGATGACTTAGCAAACCTGCAGGATAGTGCGTATGCAGTCAAGATTTTAAGTGGTTCAGAGGATTGTGCTTAGTTTTGCGGTCGCATCTCAGTATGGCTGATAGCTTTACACTGACACTGTTTTGATCTTCGAGTGCTTTGGTGAAAATCATATGAGTAGTCCAGCAGTTTCTAAATTATTTCTTGTTTATAGCTGGTATTATATTCGATGAATATAATAGTAGTGCATCGCGCCTTTCTTATACCATACGAATACGTCAGACAGAAGATCCACAAACACGATGGTATATTGGTGATGATATCTGGGAGAATGGAGGACCATATAAAATTTCAGACGACCAGTTTTTAGTGAATATGATGCCCAATTACTGGTCTCTTGGTGTCTTGTCACTACAATATGCAATAGATACTGTATTTCTTAAGGTATCTATTTTCCTGTTGTTAACCATGATAGTAAATACAAACGCCTTTCGAATTATAGTTGATTTTATCTCTGTACTATTAGATTATTTTTAGTCATCGTTTTATTTGCAATTTTTTTTTTCTGCAGCAGTTTTCTAAAAGGATTTCAGTTTTATCCTAACCAATAGATTTGAAATCCTTCTTGATATCTGTTTTACGAAAATTCCCAGCTTTATTTGTATTCTTACTTTTTTCTGGAGACTTGTGAGGCTAACAAATACTAAAGTTGCTCAACGGATCTAAAAAATCTCAGCTTCCAATAAAGCTCTGATTTCACAGGGAATTGATGGTGAAAAAAACAATGATAGCAATTTTCAACTCAGTTTAGAACGTATACCTGAGCCGCCATATTTTGAAAAATCGATCGCCGAATTCCTTTCCTTTCTGATAATTTTCTGGCAGTTGTTTACTTTGCCATGTGTTCTCCACACCGTTGCAAACATTACTTCTGAAAAACACAGTGGTATGAAGGTCAGATTTTCCCCACTGTTTTTAATTTCAAATTTTTTTTGAAATTTTTCGCAGAATTCTTCAGGGTAACCCAATTAGTTTAAGTGTTGTTAATATTCTTCTTTTCGCTTTGGAAGGAGGAAAATTAAGAGATTTTTTTCATTGTAGATTTTCACTCTTTTTTCGTTTTAATTTTAATTTAAAAAAGGAATGATAATGAAGTTAACGAATAAAGCAAAATATAGATGAATCGACCAGAAATATGAGACGACGAATTTTTTTCTTGCTGTCATTTCCTTCTCAGGGCTAGTCTGAGAACTTTAATTAGTTTAGAATATTCAGCGTTTAAATATATAATGAATTGGTTGGATTTTTACCGATGTAGCATCAGTTCGGAGTTATTTCTGTCATTTGATATACTGGTTGAAATCATGTGCAAGTTGTTAAAACTTTCCGTTATAAAATAATTTGGTGGCCCCCATTGATTTTGATTGTTCTTTTTCAGGCATTTTTAACGGTGATGGGCATGCAGTCATCGTCGTTTTATATTGCACACGCGCTAATTGGTTTCATCAAAACTATGGTAGTCTTGTTGTCATGCACAGTTATGTTACTGCCACAGATTCAGGTCTCAGTTGTTTTTCCACTATTTTCAAATTTTTTCTTTCATAAGCCAAGCCTTATATATTTAATGTATCTGCACACTGCATATAATCTGTACTGACCACATGTGAATCTGATAACTTTATTTGACAATTTTTATCGAAATCCCGCTTTATGACACGAATTCAACAATACCTCAATTATCAAAACTAATTTTATAATAGAACTGCTCCGAAAAATCTTTGCTTTTGAACAAAATATTTGGAATTCGTATGTATTCAGACAGTATCTCCGTGGTTATTTTTTTCCACTAACTTTATATATGGTGCTGGTGCTGTTTGTTTCGCTCTTTTGATGTCCTGCATTTTCCACAGTCCTGATGCCGCGACGAAAGGAACTGCTGTCATTTGGCTTGCAACTATTGGTAGGCTACTTTTTGTGTAAGTTTAATCTTCGAGAAATACGACTGTTTGCGGATTGATGGCAGTATCAGTGGAGTTAACCTAATTTCAAGGTCTTTTTGATCGTTTTCATTCTTATATTTTTGTAGGCTTGACAAGATTAAAGGCGACAGAAGGATCAGTTCTTCTAAACACTATACTTTCACTGAATTTAAATTATGCTTTCATTTGTGCTCACCATGCTGTACAGGATTATATGAATCGAGGTGACTGCTTATCTTTGGTCTTCTACAAAATATAAGTTGGATCTTTTATGTGTAATTGACAGTGGCCAAATATTGTTGAAGCACCGTTATACTTAAGTTTAAGAGTTAAAGGTTGGGAGTTACCATCAACTTAATAAGGAAGTAGTTTAACTAAGATGGATATGGCAGCTAAATTTTAAACATTTCTCGGTGTCCTTTGTGGAAGGTATTTAGGAATGTTGTTATCCAGACATTGCGAAATTCGGTTTGCTCTGTAACACATTGTTTTAACTGAGTAGTTAATGTTGTGTTCCGTGTGATAGTTTTACGAAATAATTGGTTATTTTCACTTCACTGGTTGGTCCTTTGAACTGATCTATTCTGTTAGATTCTCATTACAAACTTCTATTCTTTTTTCACTTCCCACAATCTTTTTATTTTTTCTTGGAGACATTTGTGAAAGTTTCGAAATTTAATGATTTTTTTCAACTACTCATTGCAGATAAAGTTGTTTTTGTTATATCTTCTCAGTTTCAGTGCTGCATCAAGCTCTGAAAAGCAAAATCGTTTTCAACTAAATATTTTTTTCAAGATGTATACTTGGGCATCCATAATATGTTTGAAAGCACGACGTACATATTTCCATTCGGAATGGCGTTAATAATGATGACATTTGATGTTATATGGATGTCGCTTTTAGCGATTTATTTGGATAACATCTATCCGTCTGGTGATTTACCGCGGAAGGATTGGTTTTTCTTTTTACATGTAAGTTTAACCAATAATATGAAATTTTCGGTCTAATTATAACTGGAATTATATGTGTAACATTTATGGGTCTACAAACATTATTTGTGAGACAGAAACTGCATTTATATCATTCATACTGTTGATTGCGTTCCAGAACTTTTTTCTGCTAGCAGAAACAGCCATTTTTTTTTTTTAAATGTAAATATTTTTGGTTACCACTGTTTGTAGTATCCAAAGATTCTTAAAACAGACAAGCTAATTTTAACGGATAGTAGGCGACTACAAGTGAACACATAACATTATTTAAAATGATAACACAGTTAATTGGGTCATAAGTGCTTTACAATGACAGAATTTTTTTGGAAATTGAAAATTGAAAGTAATCCATCAGCAAAAAATTATCAAGCAAATTAAAAGTAAATATTTATTGCCGTACAAATACCCTCTTATGTTTTTCTTTTTACAGCGATCGAACAGTGAACGCCAGCAATGCACCCTTTACGATTCTTCTGATGCTTCTAGTAACAACATTCAGAAACATGAGGACGATCAAGCAGACATCGATATAAGGCACTTAACGAAAACTTACACCGTACAACCAGCTGTTGATGACATGTCGTTCCGTGCTTATCGAGGAGAGGTAATTCGATCTTTTTTGCTAATTTTAAAACCAATAAATGCTACAGCAGTGGAAAGCAAGAATTGTTTGAGCTGTCTTTGAGATAAAAACTGAGGTTGTAAAAATTTCATGTATTCTATTCCGTTCACTCTTTATCTGTTAAGCTTTCGGAGAGGAATTTATGGAATTCATATACTAGCCATTAGAGAACTTTGTGTTTCATGTTTTGTGTTGACTGAAGTGTTTTTTAATAAAAGTTTTATTAATAAACATGTGTGCTGCGTTATCTGTTTCATGTTTTGTGTTAGAGAAACAAAGTGCCAGATGTGTCACATTAGTCAGTAGCTGCTATGCGTCTGTTTGTTGTAATTTCCTCTTAAATAATGCATCTTAAAGCAGCTCTTTGTTTGTTTGTTTGTTTCCTTTTTTTTTTGACAGAATGAATCCGACAGCATAACCATTCTGTTGTGCTTGTTCAAAAGTCTTATGTATCTTATGTATCGCAATATTATTCTTTTTCCAGATAACCGTTCTTCTGGGACACAATGGTGCCGGGAAAAGTACAACATTTTCGTTGATAACAGGCCTTATTTCACCAACCTCTGGCTCTATTTACATTTGCGGCAGCAGAATGAATTCACATTCCATCAATCACTGCCAACGAGAAATCGGTTTTTGCGCACAGCATAATGCAATATTTAATTTGCTGACAGTACGCGAGCATTTGGAGATGTTTCAGAAGCTCAGCGGCAACACAGCTGATTATGTCATGGAGCTGATGAAGAATATCCAATTAGATAACGTAGCTGACGTGGTATATCCTATATGTTCTTCATCTTATCAGTTGCTAGAATTGAATTGATGGAAATAAATTGTTGTGTATAAAATAATACATTCCGAGAAGCTAGGAGATGGGTGACGACAAGTTATGAGCAATTCAAGTGGTAACGTGGAATGAACTTTGAGGCATTTCATTTTGTCTAGTTACTAGCAACTTTAAAAGTAAAAATAAGTTTGCTTTAAAAAAAAACAAAAAGAGTCATTCAAAAATTATTTTTGCCAAAATTGTATGGGTTTAAGGTTGCTGAAAAACTAAGCGGTGGGATGAAACGAAAATTGTGTGTCGGAATATCTTTGGTTGGTGGACGTCGCGTTATACTGTTGGATGAACCTACAGCTGGTATGGATCCAGCATCCAGGCAAGCTGTCTTCCAGTTACTTCAGCGCTGCAAAAGTGAGAGGTAATTTCACTTGATTTTGAAATTTATCGCATTAATTAGGGTTTCTGTATTCTGAGTTTTACTTGAACAACGTTACTTATAACATTTGAGGCTAGATGTTGTCGATATACATGAGGTGCAGCTGTTCATGTTTATTTTCATTACCGCTTGGTAATTACACCTGGACTTAGTTTTCAAATATAGACAGATTTGCTTTTGATATATTGAGTAAATCTGCTTTAGAACAATTCTTTTGACAACCCATTGTATGGATGAAGCAGATTTACTGGGTGATCGCATAGCAATTATGGTAAGGGGTCGGTTAATCTGTGCCGGTACATCGGAGTTCTTGAAAAATCGTTTTGGAACAGGGTATTTATTATCGATCGATTTGACGGTGAGTTGGAAATGTAATGTCGGATTATTGCATCGCTGCATTTTGCTTAAAAATTTCTACATGGTTTTAAATGAGAAATCAGATTTAAATTAAGAGTTTTGCCTTATTCTTGTAATAAATAGATTTGACATGTCGTCAGACTTCTGATAGCAGTAGTATTCATGCGGAAGGTTAAGAGATTAAGTTTAAAAGTTAGATGAGTGTTTTAGATGAATATTTATTTCTGTCAGACTGTATATATAACTGGGCGAATAAAATGGGAGTAGGAAAGGGGAATCACATTATGTTAGGTCACCTCGATTAGAGATATCTATTGAACTTTAATTTATGTACCTCAATCTTTTTAATTGTTCATTTCTTTTGCAGCCTCGACAAGATTTCCACCATTCTTTTGATCAGAAAGAAGAGTTGTTATCAACTATTAGAAAGCATATTCCGGAATCTGAAAAGCAATCGGCAACTCCTCAACAGATAACTGTTCTGTTGCCCATTGAATGCAAGAGGAGGTTTTTTTTTCTACTCCTCTCTTTGTTTTAATGTTTGTTTTCAAATTCTCATCTCGCCCGAAAAGTGATTTAATTTCTAATAAAATATTCTGGAAATTCCTTTAATAAAATTGTTAACTCTGATTTTTTTCGGTCATATTTCCCTTTTCTGACTGTTTTCATTTCTTTTTTATTTGATTGACACTTTAGCTTTCCCAGTCTGTTTGTTGATTTGGAACAGAATGCTGAAAAGTACGGTATTAATTCATTTGGCTTATCACTGAATACATTGGAGCAGGTTTTTCTCAAGTAATTTTTTTTTTTGTTTATATAACTGATTTAATTTGGATTGTCTGTGCAATAAATTTGATATCAGTTATACTATTTAATGATCTTACAGACAGCATATACTGCCATTTGATTCGGCAGGTCTAGTAAAAAATCAGAATTATTGAATACTGGATTTTCACTTTACATTTTTTATGCACTGGTGGGCGGGAAGTTTATCATAAGAGAGCAACCGGAAAAATGAAAGTTCGATCAATGTTACATAATTTATATAAGCTACTTTAGAGTCGGAGAACTTGAGGATGCTAATTCAACTGCTATCACTGACGTGGAAAATATGGCGGAACAACAAGCATCGATTCTCTGTAGTAATTCGTGTTAGCACCTCTTTTTCTGATTTTAATATTTTAGGAAATTTGGCTTATGTTCAAGTATATATATATATATGCATACATACATTTACTTATTTATTTATTTGCTTATTCACTTATTTGTTTGTTTGTTTATTCATTTATTTATTATTTATACTGCGAAACTTCGCTTAGACATTTGCTTCTTTTGCTGCTTCACTCCAACCATGATGAGATGACGTCTCTTGGACATTTACTATGTCGTATGCATGAAATACTTGTTTTATCTGAAACTTCATCTCGTTAAGTTTGAATGAAACAACAGAAGATAAATGTCCAAACGGAATTTCGCTTTTAAACTATTAGAAAGAGTTTGGGAAAACGTTTAATTTTTTATTTCACAACTAGATAAAAGATAAAACTCTTTTATAAGACTAACTGTGCAGATATCTTAAAACATACTTGTTAAATTTCGTTAATTAAAGATGTCACTTTTACTGTAACAATCGTTAAAAGCGCATGACGAAAAGATTCAGTTAGATGATGAAAATTGAAGAAAGCAAATGTAATAAGTTAGAAATTCTAAATACAAGTGAATTTTGAGATGCATTTTGTTTATTTATTTCCAGTTATTCATACGGGATTATTGCTATGGCTTGCACAGATTGTTGCATTGCTTAGGAAACGTTTCATTTGCTATCGGAAACAGTGGCCACGACTTATTTGGCAAATCTTCCTTCCTGTAACTGTACTTCTACTTGTTGTTTTTTATGTGAAAAATTTGTCAACTCGAGATGAGAAAAGACATGGTATGTTTTTGTACATATTCATAAAATTCCCAAGCTCAGTTGGATATCTTTGGAAGTTTACTTGAGTTTGTGAATACAGAGTTTGGAAAAGACCGACGGTTCGTCAAGTTGAATGATTTTTGAAGTTTAATTTTGCAGAAATTTTGTTAAATGCAGGACGTATAAGTCCTTGTGCTGTGCCTCTACAGCTGGAAAACCCTGAAGCTCAATTCGGCCATAATGTTCTGCAGATAGTACAAAATATAACGGGCTATTCGCACTGGCTAGTGCCGACATCGGAAAATTTGGAGCTCAGTCTTGCTAAACTGCCAAAAGTAAGTGTTTGCACTACCTCGTAGGAGTCAATCTATATTAACGGCGGTTATTTAGCCATGTTATTTCATGCTTTGTGTTACCGTTAATTCCGACATATCAGCATTGTTGATTTCCACTGATGCACTATGATGAGCTTTAAATACAATATTTAGATACCGCCACCTGTCGGCATAGCTGTCACGTACAACACGAAGAACGGTCACACTGCTGTTACGGCGTTTTTCAACGCTAAGGCTAGATATGGACCGGTTATTGCAATGACGTTGATAAGCAATGCAAGGTTGGGGCAGTCTGCAGGTAATAAATTTCTAGTTTATCTGTTGGGCTCATAGAATTTGAGCAGTATTTATCAGCTTTCTTCTGGATATCAATGTGCACGTTATAAATTTCAAAATATTTTCCAAGTGCTTACAATTCGACATTTATTTTCGCATTTTCACCTGCATTGTACATAAAAACTATAAATTACTCACAGTTTTATGCTATCACATCCACTTGATCTTATATTATACGATCCATAACATTTTTGAGAACATTATTCGATATACTGTATAGTAACTTTTTTTTAGATTCCATTAAAATATCCTTACTACCATATGGTAACGTAAGCGGTGTCAACCCGTTGGTCTCACTGAATTCTCATATGTTTTTGATAGCACCTGTTTTGATTATCATTTTTGCTTTTGTTTCTTCTGGCTTTGTAACCTATGTTGTCGATGATCTCAACACGAATTTTTTTCATCAGGCAGGTTTCCTACAGTTTTAATCAGTTTGCTTTAATTGGTTAATCCCCAGTTTTTCAAAACAACTTTTTACAAAAGATAAGGAGTAGGAGTGTCACTTCTATAGGATAGTCAGGGTTTAGCTTGATCTACGCTAAAATTCCGCCTATCTTATTACTTATGATACGTATGCATCTTTGTATTTTGAACTACATAATCCTCGATGTGCTTGGATGTCTCAATAGCTCGTTCACGTCGTAAACCTCTTCTAAAAGGGCTGAATGAAAATTTGGAAGCACTCGGCTTCCATGCCACCAAAATTAATTTTCCTATGAATGTACGGATAAGTGAGGCAAATAAACAGCTGGAAGTTGCCGAACAATATTTTTCAGCAACTTCGCACTCGACTGAACACATTTACCTACTGGTTGTCTGTGATAATTTCGGATTTGATACTCTATGTGTTTATTTGTGCTGTTTTCATTGTTATTTTGGGCGAATGGTTAAGTAACTTTAAATTTGAGTGAGTTTTTACATAATTTCTTAAGTTTATCCAAAATTAAAGCTGTAAATGTTATACTAAAATTGAAACTGTAACTGCTTGGTGATCAACGATATCGCGATATTACTTTTATTTTATGAAAGCATAATCACACATCGGAAGCACCTATTCCGAGTCTTTCAATTCTAGATGTACTTGACAGTTTTAGGATACTTCGGAATCATCTTAACTTGATGCATAGCAATATCTCTCCGATGTTAATACTTATAGTTGTAATTATTCGCCTGTGTTTCGAATTGTTTAGTAATTTTCCCTCTCTTAGCTTGGTGAGATCCAATCGAATTTATATCATAGTTGTCCAGCATTTGAAGATTATCATGATTATTTACAGCTTGATATTGCTTTGGTTGATATATTTATGGCCAACATTGCCATTCGTTTATTGCATGGCTTTCCTGGTGAATCATCCAACACGAGCATACATTGTGTTGATCATCATAACGCTGGTCGTTGCTCTTTGTGCCAGCATCATATCCTATGTTATGATGTCCATGAAACCAAGATTATTTCCTTATTTACATGTGAGTGGTTTTAGTTTTAAAAAGTTTTCCATTTCCAGAATTTAAAGTTTGCCTAGTTGGGAATTCGACTAATTTTATGGAGCGAGGAATCCGTTTTAAAATCCCTCATATTAGAACATGAATTCTTCCATGTAGAAAAAGATAAGGAGGTCAATACGGAAATTTCGTTTTAATTCCCTAACTACTTATATCTTATATTTCTGCCGGTTATTCCGGATTTCTGGTTGCCAGTTTTTAACATATAGAGTAAGCCGATAAGATTCTTCTTCTGGAAACTGAATTCAAGTTGATGCATCAGGAAGTATTTTTTAACTCCTGCAAAACGTTTCAGCTTATCAAAGAGATCAGAGAAATAAATTTGTTTTGCTAAATTTCAGACAGCATTCTTGTTTTCGCTGCCGACGTACAGCATGTCATACAGTTTGATTATGATTTTAGTTGCTGATGTCAATAGAGATACGAGTAGTCTGTACAGCTGGGAGGTGATTTTCCCATTGATTTTTCAAAAAATTTGAATGCTTTTTAAAGTGTTGAACTTATGAAAGTGCATTTGCGAAAAAGAAGATGAAATCCTTCATATGACCTGATACTTTAATTTTTTCGGATGGTGCAGTGCTACGAAATCACATTCAAAGAGTGATTTTTACGAAATGTAACGGTAAGGCAATAGATGAACATGTTTTTGGATACAGCAGAGACGAAATCTTAATTTATAATGCATTAAATTTCTCGCAAACGTAAGCAATGCTTTGTACCAAATAGCGAGCTAAATTTTTTAATGGTTTTGGATGAAATTCTGAAGTCTAGAAATTGCTGACCGTTTTTAGGATTCCAAGCTTTGAAGATTTTGGGTCTGACAGATTCTGTAGATCATCGGTATTTACCACCCCACATCTCTGTGCTATGTCACTCATCTAGTGAATTATTTTAATCTTTAAATAATAAAATGGTTGGCAGAAGTGTATTACTTAGTCTAGGGTGTATTAATCTATTCCTACCCTTTCGAATTTTATATGATTTCTTTCAGAATTAGACAGTTATTGTATTATTCATCTGGATTATGCTTCTAGCAAAAGTTAGCTGAAATCTAATTTTCATATGAAATTGAACAGATGTAAAAGAATATTAACTTTCATTTTTCAGAAGCTTGGGCGTGTTTACGTGATGATGACTTGTTCGGGACTTTTATTTTGGATTATTTTAATGATGATAAATTTCAAACCTCTTGCAGTGTATATACACGATTTGTTGTCGGTAATACGGAGGACACCATCAAGCTTATCGTTGGTCTGAATCTAACTTCCATTTTTTAGAAATTTGGACGCATTTTGCGTCGTGAAGTTATATCGTTGCTATAATTTAAAAAAAAAAAAACACACTGCGTTATCATGCTTTTTTTGATGCACTTATGCGGAAGCAAAACAAGGTATTACACTACGGTGCAGAAGAATTAGTTTGATAGCATCGGATCCCAGGAGCTATTGTCAAAAAAAATCATCGTATTATTGAAAGTACTGTAGCAACTTATACTGACATAGTGAAGTAGAAAACTTTATCACATCTATAAAAATAAGCAATACAGATAGCTTGGTACAATAAAGTTCCAAATCGGATTTTGGATTTTTCAAATTACAAAGACGAACCTTGAAAATTTTGTCAGAAATTACACTAGGAAGAGAGATACTTTTCTGAAGTTATAATACAGAAGTTTGGGAAAGGGTTCTAATAGCAAAAGCTTATCTGAAGTCGAGGAAGAGATAAGTGGTTGGACTATAGTTTTGAAGAAGATACTTATGTTTTAATTTTCCAAGTGTTTTAGTACGAAAGCAGCTTAGAAGATATTGATGTAAAGAAAGAACGAGAATGCGTATCCCAGAAAAGAAATACCGAACTATCACTGGCTGTCCGTAATTTGAATAAGTACTACGGGGATTTGCATGCTGTTCGTGCTCTTACTTTTGGTGTTGTACCCGGTGAATGTTTTGGTCTTCTGGGTCCGTTTCACTTAATTTTGCAATTTCCTTAGTTGCAAGTTCCCACTCTTAGCTTAATGAACTGATTGGAAATAAACTTCTCTCAAAAATCTATTGAACATGATGTATTATGGTTTATTGACCGTTTTCTCTTTTTTTCACATATCCATATAAAAGTGGTAGCAAAGAAAGAATGCGAACACCTTTCATTTCCCCGTGCATAGTTCCAGTAATTTTCGGATTTGTGAATTAACAGTTCAATTTTGAGAATAATTTAAAGTCAACTTTGCAAAATTCTAGGAGTAAATGGTGCAGGCAAAACATCAACATTTGATATGCTAACCGGTATATCCATACCGGATAGTGGCGAAGCTTTCATCAACGGCCGTTCTATTTTGAAGAAACAGGTCTAACTTTGATGTTCTGTTAAAACTTTATTTTCAAATTTCATATGCCGTGCAATGTAATACCCTTACCAGCGTAGGTATTCATTACGTCTCTCATAATGTTTGATATAAATTTCAATGTCTCTTTTCCATCTGATGGCACCGTCATGTGAAAACTTTTTTCAGACTGTTGGATTCTGTCCACAGTTTGATGCACTTCATCCTAAACTAACGGCTAGACAAACTCTGCAGCTGTTGGCCTCGCTTTATGGCCTTGTTAATTCTGTGAAACATGTGAAAACTCTCCTTGAAGCAGTATCCTTAACAGCGCATGCTGATCGTTGTGTCGAGTTTCTCAGGTTATAACTAACATTTATCTAAAGAGTAGGAGAAATTTTTGGGTTCCCGGAGTTTGATGGCAACCAACTTCGTAAACTACATGAATAATTGTAATTGCGCATATTATTTTTACTATTTATCTAATAACTTGGAAACAATTTCTCGAAAATGTTCACAGCAGAACTATAAAATATATAGTTTGATTATTGATGAAGCTCTTAAAGATGGCGTTCTGTATACCATACTTTATGAGTCACTTTGATATTTTTTAACTTTTACTCGATTGTAATATGGATATATTTTTAACCGCCAGCAGGTAGTGGTAGTAAAAGATATCAAAACTATTCTGTGAAGATACTATATCATATCATTTCCCTTTTCTTCATTGTTTTGCGTAACACAAACCTCTTAGATGTCGGTTGTTGACCACACCATTTGTTATGATTGACTAAAGAACATTTTGAACTAGTACTGACACAAACTATAGGCATTACCGCATGCAAAATAATAGGATTATGCGGGCTTTCTCTGAGTTTTTTATGCAGAAAAGTGGACTGTTTGTTATGCTTTGTTATTTTATTTTTGGTTTTGAAAAGTACTGCTCAGTTTTTATTTCTTCAGCGGAGGGCAGCGACGGCGCTTGAGTTTAGCAGTAGCGTTGATTTCGCAAACTGATTTAATACTGCTGGACGAACCAACTGCTGGTGTTGATCCGAAAACACGTAGACAAATTTGGTGTTTACTCAATGCAATGCGTGAAAGACAACGAGCAGTGCTTCTTACCTCCCACAGCATGAGTGAGTGCGAAGCATTATGTAATCGCATTGGCATAATGGATCAGGGATCTCTGATCGCTATTGGATCACCACAACATATCAAGACAAGGTTGGGCTTTTTTTTAGAGTAGTGCGTAATTATGCAAAGGGCAAATTATAATGGTATCAGCTAAAGAATTTTGCAAGCAGTTGGTATGAAAGCATTTTCATGGTCTTTGAAGCTGTATGATCAGTCTCCATTCCCTCTCACTTCATGAATGGTAAAAAAGGAAAGGAGTTCCGACCACATTATAATTTTCTGTTTTCTTAGATTTGGTGAAAAATACACGTTGATTATAACTACTGCTAATCAGTATGGACGGGAAGATTTAATTTCTTCAGTCAAAGAAATTTTTCCTAGTTGCATTGAGAAAGGTGCTCATAGTACGTGCTTACTATGGGATATTACGAAGAGAGAGAATGACAGGTGAACATTCTTGCTGTGTCTGATTTTTATATTAGAATTTCCAACGTTTCATTTTGTTATCAGAGTGGTAAAAACCAGGTAAAAAAAAAAAAAAAAAAAAACCAAGGTTTTAAAATGCATCAGCATACATTTTCGGAAATAATGAGCAAGCTTTGGATTTGTTCGAAAAGGATAAACTAACTGGGTGGTAATTTTAAAAGTCTTCAGACCCTTACTTCATTTACAGTGAAATAAAAAATTTGCTCAATAATTTTCACAGTTATACTTGTCGTGGTTTAGGTGGTCAGAGATGTATAAAAAATTATGTCAACTTGCGGCACGGTTTCCGTGGATTATGGATTATTCACTGACACAGACGACGCTTGAAGGAGCTTTTTTGCAACTTTCACAACGTGAGAAGTGATTTGTTGCAAATACTGATTTGCTGTCTCTTAGCTGTAAACATGTCGCCGTTTCATTCTAATATCCACACTTTGCATATTATACCGATAAATCGTCTTTTGAAATTTCATAAAGCTTGCTCCGAAGTTAGTCACAGTCTCAGTGAATTCCCTCTAAACTATCATTTCCACGTTTCTCATTGTACGCTTCGTTACTATATCAAATTTCCAGACTTTTGATCAAAATTAATGTATATATACGTGTGTGCAGAATCGTAACTGTAATTTTTAGACAATATTTCTCGAAAGCTATGTTCAGAAAATGCTATTGCTGTATGAAGGTTTTTTTTGAATTATATTTTCTAGATAGTTAAAACACGTTATGAAAGATGTAGAAGTCAAAAAGAAGAATTGAATAATCGAAAGGGAGGGGACTTTCATGCGAAGTTTGAATTTCCATTTTCAGTATTCACAAAGAAAAGGAAGGTGTTTCAAGTTACTTTGCGGTTTTTAGGTCTGCAGCTTATCTTTTTTTTGTTATTTTCTGTACGACGAACAGTGAAAGACCTTCGAATTTGCCAGTGAAAAATTGCTAGCTTGAAAAAGTTGAGAGAAATGTAATCGAGGTCCTGAAGTAAACAAATGGGATTTTCTATTCAAAGGATTATCTTGAATATCTTGATAAGTCAGATGGGTCTATCTAGCAATCTTAAATTTACTTATTTGGACTTGTTGCATTTCGTGGAAAAAATTCGGAACAGTAGGCTGAATTTATTGTTTTCCATTATCTTTAATTCCATTCCGACTGTATGTTTTCTGACGCGTTACAATTATATTCCTCAATTGTTCACGTTTACTGTATTCGTTCCATCTGCGTTTTATGTCCTGTTATTTTGATATAAAGCATTCTGTCTAGATGGTTACCAATGTCGCTCGTACGTTCATCTTTTGGCTCTCTTTTTATGAACTGTATGAAGTACTGAAGGTCGTGAAGTCAAGTATTTCCGGTAGCCCATTAACTCTCGGTAGTGGTTCCGAACCAATAGTCGTGAGCTTTGAAGTTTGGACTTGCAACGTCGTGGTGGGTAGAAAACAGAAAGCAACGGTATTTTCTTGTTTTTTTTTTTTTAAGCTATGAGTTGATTCGTTTGTGGACGATAGAGATTCGGCTTGTAATTCACCCCATTATTGACTTCACCATTATTAGTTTATATCTTGACTTCACCCGATTATTAGTTTATATCTTCCTTTTCGCCTCAATTTTTTTTTACTTGAAAGAAACACAAAGGATTTCATCGTCCTCTCTGGTCGATTCCCTTTCCCTTCCTTCCCACTTTTTATAATTTATTTTATAATGTTGTTGTAATAATTTATTTTTGACATAATTTTAATTTCGGTAGTTCGATGGTCTGAAGGAGAAGCACCTTGAGCTGCTGTTCTATTCTTTTATTTTCAGAAGAAGATACCTAAGAAAATACTGCAATAGTAAATCAAATTGGGATTTACCTACATTAAAATTAACAATACCTTATATACGGGACCGTTCTTGGAAGCGATGCTTTTAAGCCATCAAAATTGAAAGACCACTTAGAAACAGTTCATTTTAATTTATCTGACCGACCACCAGAATTGTTTGAAGGGAAGTTAGAGAATATGAAAAAAATGAAAACTCAAGCTTACTGGCATTAGATTTGTGTTATCAGAAGAAACATAAGTCGCATCGTTTAAGGTATTGAAATTGATAGCAAAATCAAAAAAAAAAAAAAAATACACACACAATAGGGATGGAAGCTAAACAGGAAATGCAAGAAATACCTCTAATGAACAAAAGGGTAAGAACTTACAGCGACATAATTTCAAATGACATCGAGAAGTAACTTGTTCTGAAAATTAAAAATTCTAAACTTGCAGTTGCGAAATTCTGGAAAAGAGAATTTGGAAGATGTAGGACATATTTTTATCTTAGAAATAAAAAAGATAAGGTAAACTTCACACCTTCCACCGCAAACTTCAACTATTGGTAGATGAAGTTGTCGGGAACAGTTATTCTACGTTTGCGACATTGAAAGCAGTGGTCGTTAATAAAAAAAAAAAAATAATGCCATGATCAGCAGGAATCTACGAGAGACATCAAAAGTTATCTGCAAACGCTGGTCGATGAATTCCATCGTTTCTTCTCGGTATATGACCAGAACGAATCAAAAAGTGCCCAAAAGATAATTCGCAATTCTTTTAGTACACTGTGGAATAGGTTGTAGGAATTCAGGAAGAGGTCAATGAATTCCAAAATGAGAGAAACTGGAAGAACGCCTTTGAATCAGTTTTTCTTGAAGAGTTCTGGTATAAACAAGCAATTTCATACACTACAACTCGGGAATCGCGTTAATGTTTTCTGCTTTCTTTGTGATTAAAAACAAAGCCGAAATCAAATGGAAACAAATGATAATATGCGTGTAGCTTTAAGTACTAGCATTATCCCAGAATTACCCAAATTGTAAGGAAGATGCAAAGTCAAAATATCACACATTAAAAATGTTTTTCTTTTTTATATTATAATGCTACGCTGAGTTTAACTGACAGGCTAAAAGTTTTGGTTAAAGTACACTTTTAAACCAGCAGAATTTATTTCTGAACCTGGTAGTCCCTGTTACAAACAAAGAAACTGAAGTGCTCCCCACCAGGGAAAGATTGGGAGTCATTATTCCAGAGGTCGTCTTCCCAATGAATTCTGCAAAAGGAGGCTGACGTATTTGACTCCGGTCAACGTCGTCCAACGCGACAGTTCATGAACCGGTTTGATGATCCTGCTCATGGTTTGATTACTCTGACTTTTAGGTTTAGTTCGGTGGCAGTTCCTTGGAATTTTGATGTTCGTCATCTGTTTGTATAAAGAATTGAAGTGATTTAATCATCGGTTCTAATTTATCCGGATATCAGGCAAGGAAATGGTTCGGCAGAAGAGGACCGCGGTCCAAGAGGAAGAAGATCGGTTGGCGAAAAAATTGTTCGGTAGCAATGCTGGCTTCCCAGATGGCTTTGAGGATAGCGATGATGATGTTGATGACGAGGTGGAAGGAACATTTAAAGCAGAGGTATTACTCGTCTGTTTATCTGCTGGGTCCATGGTTTAGGATAAAAATGCTTCAAAATGTGGGCAGTAAAATTAAACTAACTACTTCATGTTGTTATAAGAGACAACACATCTCTCAAGACGTCAAGAGCTTGTGTAAAATCCTTTTGACCATCGACAAAATTTAGAAGTGACGACAGTCAGAAGACGTGGGAACTTGTTTCAGGAAGAAGCTGCTAAGAAACCCGTTTGGCAGGATGAAGATGATGAGGTTGAAGAGGCAGTTGTTGATGTGCCACTGCATCGTAAAAAAGTACACATTAGGAAAGCAACAGATGCTCTGAATCAGAAAATAACTCCGAAGGTCTTTTTTTGTCGCTTAATAAGCACCTTATTAGACGGGAAATTTAAGCAGGTTAATCATGTAGTTCCAGAACGAGCTGGCGATGATTAACAAAACTACGGTTACATGGGAATTTCTTATTTTTTGTTTCATGATTGCTAGAAATGGTTCTTTTTTTTTCAAGTGCTCAAGCTTCTAGGAATAAATTCAAGCCTTCATGGAAGTTATGTTGCTCCTGGTAAACAATGATATCTCGATATTAAACAGTCCCAGTAACTTCATGATCGGGATTTTTGCCAGTTGTAAACATACGGCAGCCTTAGTTTCCCAAATTAAATTAAATAATAGAGACTTGCATCATTCCATGAAATTGTAAACAGCAATTTGTTCCTTTAAAGAAAAATGGAAGCGCAAATTTTCCAGGAATATGAGGGACGATTACGACAGTTGTTTCACCACAGTTCTGGTGCTGCTCCAGCGTGGTCTCAATCTTCCTGTATGTTCCTAATTTCGAAATCGAATTTTTCCGAAGTGTGTTTCATTTTCGATTTCATTGTTCACTATTTTCTTTGATCTGGGAATTATTTCAGTTTGTGAAAGCAAGAAAATACAAAATTCTGGATCAGATGACGACGATCTGGAGGATGCATTGCACGAAGTAACTGCGTTTACAGGAAAATGTATCACCAGCAGCAAATCATTAACGAAAGGCGTAATTAGCATGAAACGATTGAATAACATTACACGTGGGCATCGATTTGGGAAGGTTGTTTGATATATCATACCATCATTTTGAGATTTACAATATTTTGGTTCACAAAAGTTTCATAACCTCCTAATAAATATTAAACTTTTTTTAACAAATAATCTATTAGCAATTTATAACCTATTAATAAATTTTACAACCTATCATTTCGACAGTAAAGTATGCTTCCTTAGAAACCGATGAGAGCATTACAATTTCATCCTACTCGTAAGGTACTTATGTGTGCCGGTGAAAATGGTCTTCTCAGTCTTTTCGAGGTATTTTTTACTTGCATTACTGTGGTTTCATTTTTATTATTACGCTAAATTTTGGCGAAACTTTACCGTTAAAGAGTTTAAATCCATTTAATTTAGATAGGCTTACCAGAAACAGAGGAAGCTTTTCTGCAAAATGTTCGTTTTAAGGCACTCCCAATCACCAGTGCTTCTTTTACTGCAGACGGTTCCAAAATAATTGTTGGCTCGAAAAGGAAGGTTCAAGAATTAAAATATCTCTGATTACTATTTAGCATCATACTCGTGCGCATATATTGTTCGTGTGATCTATATATTGATCGTTCCAATATAAATTATATCATTACTATATTATTCAACTCGAGTGTAGATTAGGTTATTATTATTATTATATTAAATACATTATTATTGTTATTATTATACTACTATATTTTTGTCAAGAAATGTTAAGTCATACAGGTGACGTAATTTATGACCGTCTTCAACATATTTTACAGGAATCTCTTTTTTGCTACGACCTTCTGAATGGCAAAGTGATGCAAATGAGAACTCCGTATGGTACGATTTCATTTTCTACTGCATCATATAAGCTGAAAAAAGAAATAAACCAAGTGTTAATGTTTTACAGAAATGGCGAAAGTGCACATGGGGTATTTTTCGCTTTCGTCTGATGGCAAATACATAGCTGTTCTGGAGCACAACGAAGTACATATTTTAACTTCAACGGTACGTTGCCAGACTCATTGCACTATACTTACTTGGTCTTTCCCTTGACCTTCGTTCAATGAAAGCTGATTGAGTTTACTGTGCTGCGCACTTAATATTTCAGTTTGCAAATTCCATGGTAAGCGGAAATTTTTTTTTTCTAATAGTGAAAGTTGAACCGAGAATTCGAGTCGGTTTATTAGCAGGAAGAACTGAACTGAAAGTAAGTCAAATGGAAAAAAAGCTAAAATAATCTTTTGGTAACGATAAGTTTTTCCTTGCCATTTATTTTTGTCTATTTACCAGTTTACTTTCATGTATTATTGTTTTCCCTATCTTATTCTATCTGATGTGAGCTGCTTTACATTCCTTCTAAAAGCGCTTCTGGAATTAAGGTTAAATTTCAGTCATCGGAATATGTTGGCGTCCTGACAGCTTCAGTAAAAATTGCATCTGTGCAATTCTTTCCGAATGATTCATCGACCGTTTTTGCTCTCGGTGGTAGGTTTCGATGTTGATTTCATGAATTCATACAGGCACTTCCACATTAAAAAGATGTGAAGGTATTGTTGAATACTTCTCAAAATGTTCAGAAAATGGACAGGTATTTATATGGAACATCAGAAAGCCAAGAGGACAACAAACATTTCATGATGAAGGTTCAGTTAGAGGAACAGTGATACGAATAAGTGAAAATGGTCAATACATCGCCTGTGGGTAAGTTACTGAGAATATCGGATGACAGTGAGGGTAGGATATTTTCTGTTTAGAAAAATTGACCGGAAAGATTGTTCTGGGAAGCTCGCATTACCCCTGAGACTTGAAGAAATATTTGTAAGATTCAGGGTTAAAATTAATTTTTATTCATAGCGTTTAATCTTTGGCAGGAACTTCGTGATACTGCTAAAACTGGGTGAATAAACTGCTGTATTCCACATAACGGTTTGTTGCTAGTTACCAATTCTACTATAAGTAAAAATGGTCAATATTGAATCATCTTCATGGCTTAAAAAGCTATTTTTAGAATTTTAAAAGACATGTTTCAGATCTAATACAGGAATTGTAAATCTATACGACTCTACGGATGTCCAGACAAATTTGTTCCCCAAACCCGTAAAAGTACTCGATAATCTTACAACAAGTATTGATTGTATGGCATTTAATACTGATTCGCAAATTCTTTCAATATCTTCGAGTGTAAAAGTAAGTGGTCCATTTATCAGCATTTCTGAGCATTAAAAACAGTGCAAAAAATTTCATTCTTCACTTCTATAACTCATGTCCAAAAAGCGCATAAACCTTAATGGAAAGTAAATTCCAGAATAATTCGATCCGGTTGATGCATGTTGGGAGCCGAACTGTTTATACAAATTTCCCGTCAAGAGCTGTAAGTCTTGGAAAAGTAACGGTGGCTGACTTTTCACCAAAAAGTGCTTATATGGGTGTTGGTGATGATCGGGGCTTCCTTTCCCTATTTAGACTTTCACATTTCACTACTTATTAAAGGAAATTTCTGGAAAGTAATGTTTGATCGTACGGTGATAAACAAGTTTTAGCAAAGAAATACTTAGCACTGGTCGGAAAATCAAAGTAATAGAAGGAAGTAAGATCATAATAATATGTTCGGATGAGTTAAAAAGGGTGCTTTGCAATAATATAACTTGGTAAAAAAATGTGGGAGCTTTTACTTTGGAAACAATGATTATCCAGTTTTATTTGTTTGATGAGACAGGCCTTACTATATGAGATGAACGAGTTTGGGTCAGAACCAACATACTTGCAACAATCATCCAGTTTCCAATTTTCACCTTCTTTATTCAGGATTCAGAAAAGTCAACGACTACCAAAAAAGATCTAGATACTTGTTTCTTTTTTCCTGTCACATTGAATGACTAGAATGTAAGATTTTGGAGAAATTCCGGAAGGTTGTGCATTTGATACCATACAAACATCAACACATTTGATACATAAGACAGATCTGTTGCGTGTGGAAAATTACACACAACGAATTTCGCAAAATTCTATTCTTTACAAAATCAAATTTTACTTTACAATACAAAGTAGAATAATAGAGAGGAATGAGCTCAATAAAAGAATTCCAAGGTCTCAATTCATCTTTAGATTCCACTACAATCGACGATTGCAGTACCTTGAAGGTATTTTGTGGCAACAGGAGATAATGAGGGAATACTCGAGCATTTTACCACTGTCCACTCTCACCTCACAGTTACCACCTAATGTCAGTTTTTTTGAGGTTTAATAGCAAGCGCCGATAAGTGTTTCATCTGCATCACCCGGCACTTATTCCGGTAGTTAACGATAGTGATTTTCTGTGGGAGAAAAAAAGGCAACAGACATAGAAAGTCAAAAAATTTGGAGTAGCATCTATTAGGTGTATGTTGTAGTGGAAGTGAATATTTAAAGAGTCACATGCAAAGTAATTGACATTCAACAAACATTGAGCAAACTGACGGTTTTACTCTGAGAAATGTACAATGAAGAGAAAATAAAATATTACTAAGGGAAAATAGCCGGCTTGAGGGATCGGTTTTCCAAAACCGTATGCAAGCAAGGAATCGAAAGGCTGGATAGGTAAAAAAGCTGCGAAATTAAGAACAAGAGAGATAACGACTACTGGTACCAAGAATACTTCAAGCTAGCAATCGATGTAGTGTCGTCATTTGGGACTCAGTTAAGACTGCACCACCAACCACAGCTTCAAAAAGACTTTTATCTGCCTGCAATAAAAAAGGAACTTTGAATCGCATGTTGACACCTCCGTTTCTCACTCCATAGTTCAATTTAGGTTGGTTTAAGAGATATAAAGAATAACAGAATTGTCAATAGCTAAAAAGTCCCGACTCTCAACATGATTGTCTCTATCACTGTTCCAGCCAATTAGTGAAAAACAGGTAACCAACTTGCAGAAAAACAGATCAGTGGGTAAGATTAAAATTTAACAGCCGGTATAAAACATTACAGTAATCCGCATCACTTAAGGGGATCCTTTTGAAGAGAATATGACGAAACGTCGTAATAAAATTCTTGAAGAACATTCGTGAAACAAATTCAAGAGTGATACCTGCATGAATTTCAATATGCTGATCAAACGATGTTTGACATTATTTTTATCAGTGCTATCATCAAACGCTCCTTTTTCAAAGGCTTGCACAATGACGGTTAATATTCGAGGGAGATTGGAATTGTTTTCGCCCAAGACCAAAGGATTATTGCTGAAACACCGATAAGCTTGGGTGATTTCGGGATTTTCCCAATGTTAATTTTAGTGCTGTTTCCGGAATTACCACACAATATATTCATGCTTATCAACAGAATGAAAATGCTACCTTGGTCAGGATCCAGAAAAAGAGCTGGGAAAATCTCGAAACAGAAGCAGGAGTTAGAAAACAAACAGAAGTTAGCTCTATTTGGCTTCAAAACCATACTAAAATTTGGAACCAAATAAAACAAAACGATACCTCTCAATAAGGTCAGCAAAATACCCGTAAACATGCGGTGCTTCATCTGGATCATCCCAAATAGGAAGCCAACTCAGGAACGTCGGTATAACCTATTGAAGTATAGTGGTGCATAAATGAATGAATAAAAAATAAGCTAATGATCACTAAATGCATTAAGGTAAAACGTTTCCTGTTCATTAGATGAACAAAAAAATAAAGTGTTATGAAACTACTGTGCACATGTTGCTAATGCGATGCACAATGGCATCAAGTACTTAGCATTCTACATTCTTTATATACATATATAGTAATAATATATCTTCGTTTGCCGACCTATATGAGCATACATGTAGAGTGCTGAATAATTAGTGGTACCGTATCACACTTTATGATTTTCATAAATAGAAAAAAAACCCAGATCAATACAGCCTATTATGAAATGCACCGAATTAGCACTATTTTATTCCAGCAACTCTAAACTACGTTCACTCCTGTATGCTGACTTTAAAATCAGAGCTCACATCCAATGCAAAAAAACATACAAAATGAACTAAAATAAACCAAACACACCGCATTTACATCGACCATCGACGAATTGTATTTGAGGATTTTAGCAACAGCACTAATAGCGTTTTCAGTGGCTACATTTCCTTCTTCGGTAGATCTAGCATCCGCTCTCGAAATCATATTTGCTAGATGGGGTAAGGCGCCTATAAAATTTAACATTTTGAAGAAACCTAATATTCAATTTTGAGCCTTCTCCGCTATGTGTGAAAAGAATTTTATTTAGGCCGGTGCCGTCACCTATATCCCCCACTTGCTATGAATCATAAAATTCAAAGATTGTGTTTTCCAATTTTTTATCCTGTTTCCTAACCAACTGCTTCGATGTCTAATTATCAATTATTTGAAATATTCATCAACAGCTTATCTTATTTTTAAATCTCCATTAACACCTTATAATTACCACTTATCCTCTCCTTCATCCACTTTTCCTGAACCACCTTCCCTTCAAATCTACATTTTCTCTCCCATCTCTTTAATCTAGTATCATACTTTTCCAGTTTCCGTAATATCATCACAAGGAGTCCTCACCTGCGCACGCTTGTGCATAATTACTGCCACCGTGTTGTCCCATAATTCCGAATCCATATGCTGCGCTTTGACGTACTTCCGGATATTCATCGGAGAGAGCATTAAGCATAGGACCATAGAAAGATGAATAATATTTGATACTTGCTTCACCACCATATTCAATCAAATCGTCAAATACGCAAATGGCCCACTGTCTTTCACTGTAGTACCTCCGCGAATCCAACAACGGGATGAAGTAGTTCGCCAATTTTTCGAAATAAGGCATGAGATTCAGGCCATATGCCTTGAAAAGACAGTGGATAACGTCTGAAATGCGTGCCAGTACACCTGCTTCCTCTTCTAACTCTTCATTTAACGCATCTGCTGCATCCTCTTCATCATCATCTTCGTCCTTATGTTTCCCGCGTTCTATACATCGTTCAGTATATTCGACCATTTGTTGACTGACGATACCCAGAATTAATTCCAACTGCTCCTGCGTAATGAGGGATGGACCCAATTCCTCAACACACTGTGCTATACCATGAAGCTGATCAGCTAGCACTTCTTTGTCATGCTCTCCATTGATCGCTTCTTTGTATGCTGATATAACGACATTCCAGAGCTGCATTCTGAACTGATCACCTCTATTACGAGCACACTCCAATAAACAAGGGAAAATATCGGCGGCTGCGGAACGGACAGCTGTAATATTCCGTTTAGGAGACAAATAAATTTAAAAAGCAAAATATCCCTTCAATATTTCTACAGTTGCAATATCAGTCAAATGATGTACAAAAACAAAAAGTGATCTCCCAAAATCCTTAAAAAACCATGACGTTTTATCCCACTAAGATAATTCTTGCGGCATTTCATTGTTCAGAAAGCGAGAACAAATGTGTAATATTTACTAACCATCATGAAACATGAATTTAAGATGAGGAAGCATTAGTTGAGTAACTGATTCAATATAGGGACTGAATGCCGATTTAAGTTCACGAGCATAACACACAAGCATTTCGCAAGCAGTGGCTTTGTCTTCCAATCCAGCTGTTTTTATGCCTAAAAGTTTTTTTTTTTGATGTCTAAAAAAACCGAAGGGAAAACCCCAAGCAATCAAAAATTGTTGCAACCTACTTTGATAATGGAAAAAATCAGTCGAAGAACTCAAAAAAAGAACAACTTACCGAACATCTTCTGGTCACCCAGAGGGACAAAATTCCAGTCAGGATCCTCTTCTTGATTAGCAACATCTTCGTCATTCATTAGCGTAACATCAGGTTTGATTGATGCAGCTCGTAATACTGGAGGCATCACGAGCGGCAAAAAAGCAGCAAATTCTTCACCAAGAATTTTACATATCCGAGCCCAAGCACTAATCATATAAGATATCTAGAAAATTCTATAGCCATCAAAATTAAAAATCTTTATTGAAAATGACTCAAGAAAGTAGTATTAGAAGTATACACGTCAAACGAAGAAGTTTTTGAAAACCTAAGAACGAATTTGCATCCTACCTAATAACTAAGACAAATTTCTCCCAAAATAAAAGTTTTGATACTTGGAATAGTTCAAAAACTTCCAAAGAGCTGGATCTTTAAGTTACTAACGTCGTTAAATGAAGCAATTTATATACCTGTGGATCATCTGCTGAAATTTGCTCGAACTGAGTCTGATTAGCCAACAGCATCTGCATTATCTCATTTGCATCTTTGGCAAACTGCAAATAAAATATGAAGAAATAATGGCTGATCTGCTGAACTTGGAAAAGAAATTACAAACGCATAAAGCACAAACGAACTGGAAGCACGAAGGAAACAAACCTTTTCCTTCCCCACTGCTAATCCGATCAGGGATATACATTCGATAGTCTTACCACGTAGAGTATTCAGTTCTTCAACATTCGAATTTTGTAAAATATACTTCAGTGGAGGCATTAATCTTAAAAAAATAAATTTAAAATCCCTAAGACTTTCAGTTAAGGTGCTGAACTTTAAATCCTTAGCTAAACTCTGTCGAAAAAAAAACCAAAAACAGCGTCACGAACGCCATCAGCTACATTTTCTACTAATAAAATTAAACCTGTCGTAAAACGTAATAAATTGATCCTGAGCAGCGTCGGCAACTGATGCTATCGTTGTGATAACCTGCTCCAGCACAAGTTTCTTGCCACGCTCCAGAAGCTTAAAGAATTTCAAACATTCAAAAGTCTGTATAAGTGTTAAACCTCGAGGAAGCGATTCTCAAGTGATTGAATGAACCATCATATACTCACGAGTTCTACTTGGAATCTACTAACTTACATAAGAAAGACTAGAAGCAATACCTGTTTGAAAGTATGGTCCAAAACAAACTCCAATTTCTCCATTATTTGTGGAAGATAAACTGCAATGATATTTTTTGGACAATCTTCACTAAAGTTGACAAGTGCAGCTCCAGCATGAGCAGCAACGCGTGGACAATTCAGATCGATCAAAAGAGTGCATAAACCACTGACAACCTAGAAATTCATGGGATACAATGATATCGTTGTTTTAAATCTCATGCGACGACTTTCAGTTACAAGTTAAGTTCCTAAACAATTAAAGTAGATAAATTCCTAAATAATGAAAGTAAACATAAACATTGATAAGTTGCTAAAATTTTGAATCATCAAATCAACCTTTTCATGACACTTCTTCTGAAGTGTCGGTGAAAAATCACTTGACATTTGTCCTAGAGCGTTACAAGCTGCATATCGTACACGCGGATGCTGAAATTAACTAATCAGAAGTAATACATGAGGAAATTTTCAAAACAATGTATCCAGAATTTGACTTACAGAGTCTCCTAAAAATGGCAGAACATTGTTAACGATTTCTTCGATAAGTGGTTCCATCTGACGCTTACAACCTTCTCCAACGGTGGAAATTCCCATAATCGCTGCGTGCCGGTTTTTCCAATTTTCAGCTGAAACCTCGTTCAATTTTTCATAGCAAACAGTGGGGGTATACAGAAGGTTCAAAAGTAAGGATCAGTTAAAAAAGGAGGATCTAAGAAATGGAAAAAGATAAAAATGAACCATCTTGCATCATGCGTGGCACAATATGTAAAAACGAATTCAACACAAATTTGCCTCCCAAACTGCATGATATACGATCCAAGGATGACTCTCCAATGCCAGCATTGCTAAATTATGGATTTTTATAGTCACTGATATTGTCGTTAATATACGGTTACCAAGTTCCACCATCGTTAATATACGGTTCATCAGGATAAAAAACCAAAACAAACTTACTCTTCCCCACTATCCTCATCAGCATTATCGCAGTTCAACCATTCTTCTGTATCATCGTCAAGTTCGGTCATCATATCTAGACACTGTTCTACTGAAATAGGCCGTGTACTGTTTTTCTCACATTACACATCCAAACCAAACAAATGATAACTTTGTTGAATGATGGGCTCAATGAAATTCATCTATTCCTTTACAATCCCCTGCAAGAAAATAAGCCAATATAACTCGTCATTACAACGATCAAACTTACACAATGCTGGAATGAAAGATGATGCTTTCTTCTTGACCATACCAGTAGCATTTTCACACAACGATACCATCACTTCGAGCGCACTGTGTCGGTATGAATCATCCTTTTGCATATCTGCGACTGTCTGGAAGTATATAAAACTGATTTGGAAAAGATAAGTAATGGAGGTTATTATAAATTCAGGATAGGATCACATAATTGATCTTAATGTGCTGGCGTTAAATATAAAACACTGAATTCATCAAGTATAGCAAATATAGCAATTCATCAAATATAACAATCATGTTTGCTTTTCCGGATATCCCTGACTGAATGTTAAGACATCTAGAACTGAAATAAACAAACATCTAAATTAGTCAAATTTGAAAGCTTATAATTATAAAAGCAGTAAAACATATCAATTTCACAAGACAATGCGTATACGTCTACATAAAAGTGGGTGCTGTAGACCTCTTATTCCTCTAAGAGTGATACGATACCTTCCATATCTGACTAGTCGGGAAAAACAAACTGTGAAGAAACCGAGACTAGTAATATATCCGTATTGGTTTTGGTTATCCAATTTCAACTTCTCTCGAAGGCAGATGTTGCGCATCGAGACTGCTGTATCTCATATGAATAAATACTATGAACTGATAAACAGACAAGCGAAAGCACTACCGATGTACAGAGTGTAAATACATCATTTAGATGTGGCTGTAGAGTTTTCGGAACATTTGTTGCAAGGTCTCCCAAGCACTGCAGTGGTACGTCATCATCATCTTCCGTTGCTACTACATGTTGACAGACCTGTAATAGACCATTTTTGATGCATTGTACAGAAACACTGACTGAAAGAATACTGGGGAAAAAATCGACAGTGATTCAGAAAATCTCATAAAAAAGATCCAATTGACCTGGATAACTGCAGGGATTTGATCAGAAAGAGATCTAATAACTCTGTCATCTTCTTCATTTTCACACATGAAAGCAACATATGCGCGAACCGCAGCAGTTCTAACCGATCCTTTACTACCATAAAGTAGTGATGACTGGAACATTTGTTTGATTCCAGGAAGATAGCGATCTTGATCGCACCCAAATACGGATGGGACATTCCTTTAAATTTCAGGCGTTAAATACGTATCAAGCTCTGAATAACAAAAAGTAGCACTTTCGCAAAATTATGGAATAGGTCTTGAGATGAAAAATATTATGAGAAATGGAAAGGATAAAAATATCTAGGAGCAAACAAATGTTTCTGTCTGCTCCAAAGTAAAGTTTTTTTGACGAAGGAGGAGGAAAGGTATTTTCTTTTTCGGCAAGAGCGGCTGATAAATCTCTACGCTGTCAGAACTGATCACGACGTTTCATCATTCATTTAGCGCTACTTTTCATAACGTTATCCACCATTATTCTTAAATTAGTTCAAATATGATCCATAAAAAGATGCAGTCAACTTACTCCAGTAAAATCATGCCTGTTTCGCGTAATATAGCAGCATCTGAAGAAGCACACAATTCCAAGAACTGGATAACACCTGACCAGCTTTGGCGTCCTGTTTCGGTTTCTAAAATTTGTTTCCGATGCTTCGTTAAATAGTCGGAAATAAAATAGATAATAAGATCGAGAAACAAAAGTCTTTGATTTTAACCTCAGCCAAAAAAATACAAATGAATGATCTTCTAAACCCTATTTCGCAATGTTTCACAACAACCCAGTTTGGTCGTAAAAAAACATCAAGAACCCCGATGTTTCGAAGGTGATTTTCAATAGCTGACAATGTTTCGATAAATATCATCACCAAAAAATTTCCAAACAAAAATCAAAGTACCGATGGTAGATCGGGCAACTTCGGCAATAACATCAGTCAAACGTTTCCGCAATACGGCATTTTCTTCTTCAGTGGCTGATTTTAAAAGTTGCTCACAAAACTGTTGCTGATTTTCCTTAGACCAAGCAGGCCACAGCTCATCCCATCTGTTCGATAGTATTCGTCGCATTAATACCAAGCACAATGACCGCGTCTGGAAATTATGGAATTCTAAAATAAAATGCATTCGGAGCATCCAATTTTCAACAATCAGCAAAGAAAGTTTGACTTGCTATGAAGTTTTGTATTATCCTGAACATATCGAATTAATGTACACACTTTCACAAAAAATGTATCGTAACACAAATTGTTTGCCCTCAATATAATACCATAATGCATGATCCACATCTAGTAATTAAGAAGCGATAAAATATTCTTCCGCATTTATCTTGGATTCGTCCCCCTCCCCTCTCAACATTAACAGACTGATTGCGACATGGATTTTGGACCAGAAAAAAAATAAATGGGAGCACACTTTCTTATTAGATACTGTGTGCAATGGCAAAATTTCTAGTAAATCGAGTTCCTAAAAGTTATAGAAAAAGAAAATTCTGTGAGTCATACCTCAATACCAGCACTCTGATCCATAAATAATTGAAACAGTAGCTGAGCCTTTGGTAATAATTCAATATGATCATACTGTTTTTCCGCTTCTTTTCTTGCTTCGTTTTCGGGAAAAAGCATGCGACTAATTAAGTTATTGAAGTCTTGCAAACTTGTCATTCTTTTAAAAATTTATGGGCTTTTTGTATAACAAACAACAAAAGTGACCTAAAAATGAACATAATGAATGGAGAAATGAGGGAAACATCATCACGATTAATGTATTATATTCAACATATAGGTAAAACCTGTTTACGAACCAATACAAGTTTGAAAGCATCCCACGCCGCAATATTTCAAAGATTTGATTATGTATACCACCCGCATGTCCAACTTTGGAATATTTTTCAAAAATATTTAGAGAAACAATTGTCAGGGCGAATAAACTAAAGGAGTTATTTCACTTCATGAAAAAGCATACCAAAAACAAGCTAGTTACATTTTCATCAATACTTGTGACAGATTAATGGAAGAAGTATTCATAAAATTTGACCAGGTTATTTCATCTTGTGCATAATAGGATGGAACTTAAAGAAATGTGAAGCATGTAATAGAAGTTCCGGTAAATCCTAAATGAATTACATGTTTACATGCTACAGTGTTGTCTCTGGGAGAACAGTGAAATGGATGATTCGGTGAATCGAAGAAACACTACACATCCAATCACTACGTTTGACGAGTGTTATTACTAATAGGCCACTCGAAGACTCGATGAAAACACGTCTCAACACAATCTGAGCAGTGCAGTCTCGTTTTTGCGAGATCAATTTCTGCACGAAATTAGTTCTCTGACGATGTAAGCCTTCCTACTTCCAACTACCTTGTTGATCAGGGAAGGAGCAGTCCAACAACTACAAAAGACTACCACCTGGCCGATTTATTCACATCTAGTTGCATCCAGTTCAATCATCTATAGTTCATTCATCCTATTTCAAAATAATGAGAATTCTAGCAATTCATAAAAACAAGACATAAACATTTCCACTGGGATCAGTTAACAAGAAAAAAGATGAGCTTATTTTACAAAATATTTTAAAGTTTTCGCACTGATGTCAAAAAAAAGAAATCTTCCAGTGCATCCTTACATACATTATTCTAATTGTTATGTACTTCTAATTGTTACTCTGGTCAAATTCAGCATTTTACAAAGATTCAGGAAAGCTGATCACAAACCTCCCTCACTTCATACAAAGCTATCCTTTCCACAGTCATACCGTCGAGAGTATCCACGTGCCTTGGATTCCAATGGTAAAGTTTTCAGTATGCAACCTTTGACAATATTCCAACTAAACAGATATGTCCGGTGAATTCCAATTTGCTGTTTTGATTGGACCATGTAAATGAAGAAAACTTAGAGTGAACTGAAGAGAAAACGGGAAAAGATGAAAACTTCGACTTCATTACCTTTGAACTCATTCCATCAACGTCCACATCAAGACTAGAATTTTAAGGCATTTGAGACGTATTTCGCACTTTTCTGCTAATCGTAGCTTATAAATACGGCTCTTCCAGAAATTGCCAGAAATGTGAGAAAATACGAAAGATCTACCAGACGGATAGCTTATCAGTTGTTCGACTGCGAGACTGAGGAGGAGCCACCTACTGACCCTATCTCTGTTTCAAAAGAAAAGAAAAGATCATGCGTAACAAATATCCAGAGGTTACATACCTGGATTTCGGGCATATAAACCTGCCCGCAAATGAGTCTTGCAAACATCAACTCAAAGCCACCTTCCCTCGTAGCCTATGGACTCTCCATTTCCCACTTCTTTTTTCGAAATAGTTCCCTACTGCAGCACTATATTGGCAAAGCAAGTCTCTCCTAGGCCCGAAAAAGGATCATAATTAGATAGATATGTGCATATGGCAAAGCAGTCCATGTAACAGTCTAAGACCAAGCCTCTGTCCTTCTCTGTGTCTTATATGTGATCTAGAAGATTCTTTTTTTTTTAACTCTGTGAAGATAAATTACAGAATGCCGAGTATCTTTCCAAGATCTATCTGCATGTATTGCAATCCTATGGCTCTTGCATGGAACAGTCTCAATATTTCTCGAGATATTATTTAAGGTTGTTTTTATTATCATTTCCTCATTGATTGCATTCTAATTCCCTCCAAGAATTGAGACATTTGTGGTTTAACTTTTGAGACGAATTTAAAAAGCGATCACTTTTATATATGTTTATTTACTTATTTATATGCAAGGCATTGTGCACAGAAATGCATTACCGAAGTTTACCGAATAGGGATAAGGGAAAGGATAAGAACCGTCTTGGTTTGTTGTTATGTATCACTGCCGGATACATCTACTGACAGTATTCTTCCTCTTACCTCTCTTTCCTTTTTCGTTCATTCTCTGAGGACAGGAAAAAAGAGGGGAAAATCAAAACCAGTTCATATAAAGCATCCTATCTTGGTCATATTATTGATTGGTTCTAAGATGTTCTGTGTAAATCTGAACATTCCTCTTGATTTCTCAGTACTCAGTTATTTCTGTTTTGGATAGGCACCAATTGCAAAGTGACTATTCCTCGATGGCTCAGAATGGATCTATCAGTAAGGCTATGTGTCTTTTTATCATGAATAAATGGAAATTCTTCATTTCGTATGAATTTTCCAAATGTAGAAGTTGGGAAAAGAGTGAGGGAGAATGATGAAAAAGGGCAATACTTTGTTTCTCCACATTTGATTTCTTTCCTGAAGGAAATATATGTTAGAGCTGGCTTAGCATATGGTTGCCAGTTTTCTGCTCACCATTCTTTGAGCAGTTTGATTATCAAGAGAGACCTGTTTCAACTACACTAACCTGCCCGTTCTAGCACTGTTGTGTGCTTATTTGTGATACTTCATTATGCCATCCATTATAGTGAATTACCTTCATCTCAAATGCATATCCACCGTTATTGCAAGTTTCCCCCTTTGTTGCACTCTGCACAACAGGGATGGTTATGATTCACTTGTATTTTTCTGAAGATGGGAGAAAAGCAACCACCAACTAGTGAGAGTGACACTTTGTAGTTGATGTAATTAATTATCGTTATTGCAGTCCCTTCCTCCATCAATCTGTCTCCTAACTTTTCGCTTAATCTTTTTTTCCGAAAACACATTGTTATTTTTTTAACTTGCATTCTCTTAGAATTTTATTCATATTGGCTGTGGTATAGTCTTTTATTTATTACTGCTTCAATACCAATGAAATCAAGAGAATCAAATCAATTTACTTATAATTTACTTAAAGTCGATTTACTTTCCAATTTACTTATTTCTCGAGGTTATTTGATCTGTTGGTCCAAAAGATTCGTAGCGAGAGTGTAAAAGAAATGCGTTTTGCATTGCATGTTATTTTTGTGTATCAGTTATTTCAAGAACAATTTCAGGTGGACAGTTGCGCATTGAGTAATGAATTACAAATTGACATACTTCCCTATCCGAGATAAGTTTTCTTTCAGACCACTTCCGAATATGTTCACGGTTGTGAACATATTCTCGATAACCTTTCATTTTCCAACAGTTTGTAATGCTTTTATTGGCGACATTTTGTTTTCGTTCCGCTTTACGGTTTCTACCGCCGTTTTGAATACCATGTTCAGCATGGCAGCTATTGAATAGAATCAGAGGTTGATTAGGCTTGCAACCTAAAAATCAAAGAGAGCGGACATGATAACCAAATCAAGGGATCAAACCACCGATAACCTGATTATCTTAAAGTCATTACATATCATAAGGCTGTAAATGGTCATGGTTTTCAATCTTTTTATTTATTCGATCATCATCTGATCATTTTTTGTTTTCATTTCCTCTTTTTATTCTTTTTATTCATTCGTTTTGTTTTCATTTTAGGCTTAGCTGAACCAATTCGTTTGCTACTAGTTGATCAAGGTATAAATTTTATTGACGATCGCATAAATAAAAGTGACTGGCCTATCATAAAATCACATTTCGTAAGTTCTTTTCTTACATATCATTTATTTGACCCATAAATATAGCAGTGTTTTCAGTTTGTGAAAATTATATAAAATCAGATATTTGTCAACTGTTTTTTTCTGTTTGTTCAGCAATTCGAACAACTACCTTGTCTTTACGATGGTGATCAGCAAATTGTCCAATCCGGTGCAATCCTGAGACATCTTGCTCGCAAACACGGTATGTGTTACATACTATCTTTGCAGTTTTTACTCTTATAATTTTTCTTGATAGAACAGCAGTACAAAAAAAAAATGCATTTCGTTGTTAAAGCAGCTTTCTGGTTGGCTATATCTAATAATTTGCAGATTACAAATAATGACAGCAATCGTTTTGTCTACGGAGTTAATTTTGATGCCTTTTTTTCATATAGATTTGAATGGTGGAAATGAACTGGAAACAACATATATTGATATGTTTTATGAAGGCCTTCGTGATCTCCATTCCAAATATACAAAAATAATTTATCAGACTTATGTAAATATCTTTCACTTATTATTCGCTATCATTCACGAAATTTATGGAATTGTTTGACCCGTTACCATCGGGTCGAAATCACTCTCGCATCAGTTGAAGAGATTATGATTTGGATTTGGTTTAATTTCATATTTATGCATGGTGTGATGTGTATTCCTGAATACTAATTTTTTTTCTTTTTTTTGAATAAGGAAGAGAGGGGAAAGTGGAAACTAAAAAAAAATTTGGATAGATAAATTAAGCGTTAATATTAGATAAATTAAGCGTCAGTAACCCACCTATAATCAATTATTATTAAACTAGTTCATCCATTAATCATTCCTACAAAAACATCACTCTTGCATCAGTCATTCCGATTCATTGCTTTTCAGGACACTGAAAAGGATTCCTATACAAAAGATGTATTGCCAGTAGAATTGACGAAATTTGAGAGGTTGCTTGCTACACGAGACAATGGAAAAAACTTCATTTTGGGAGACAAGGTTAAGGAGATTTCGGTTAAACTGTAATTAATGAGGGATTGCTTGTCGAGAACATATGAATGAGTTGATAAAGGTGATAATGAAGTAGCATTATCTTCAACTCTGAAAATATTGCATTAACAGAACTACAATAAGTTTTGTAATAGATTTTTAGATTTCATTCGCAGATTTCGTCCTTTTCGAGGAGGTTGACATTCATCAAATCCTCGATCCGCACTGTTTGGATAAATTTCCACTCTTGAAGGCTTATCGTCAACGAATGGAAGACAGACCAAGACTTAAGGTTTTGTTGTTTTACTAAAATTTCTTCAAGGATTCTTGAAGTACATGCGAATGAAGCAAGAAGCATCCGCCACTTTGATTAAATTTTTTCCCAGTGATATCGGCGCAGTAGTATCTCACGATCTAAAATTTCACGTATTTTTGGTATTCAAGTAACTTACTTTGAAGGAGTACTACGAACAGCGTAATGCAGCAAAGATACCAGTAAATGGAAATGGGAAACAGTGAACGACAAACAATTTAACACTTTTTTTTGAAAAAAATCTCTACTCCTGTTGTTATTTCTCTTTGGGACGTTGTAAAACTGGTTTTCATCATGTCTATGGTACATTTATCGCGAATAAAGTTATTTGTTCAAGTAAATCTGTTTTTTCTTTCCTGCTGTTCATCACCATAGTATACAATGAGAAATTTCCAGTTCCTTAAGGTAGGAAATGTTATAATTACATAACTCAACTAGATTTGATTGGCATAAATCGTTAACGTAGGTCTTTGTTAATAAGCAACAGTTCGAGATGGTTCCTTCGAAGGATCTCTCGCTTTCATTCTATTCTGATTTCCTTGAACCGTTGGCAGCCGAAAAGTGTGAGTAGTCCAATCTACATCGAGAAAATAGATTTTTGACATGTCAGCGTGCAATCAGACCACTACTTCATATGGTTCATGATTTCATCCGTCCGTAATGAGGGTTGGTGATGTGCAGAGTATGTTGGTGGGCAGATGATAAATCTGCGTTATTCTTGATTCTACAGCACTGGTGTCACTAATTTTGTTTCTTGCCGACAAATTCAACAGTTTCTCCTGAGAAGTAAGTGAGCTTCACGATCTTCAAAGATTTCAAGTAGACCACAGAGGTGATGGTCGAGAATTCCAGCTGCACCCATATTACCAAAAACGTTCGTTTTGTTTGCTTGTAAAACGGTGTACGTTAGCGAAAGAAATAACGGTCGGAACTGGACAAATAGTCGGAGAAAACAGACATGTTATACTATAGTAACAATAACAGTGTGCTGAAAACCCAGGCAAACATAATTTGGACAACGTTTATTGAAAAATATGTGAACTGCGAGCTTAATTTTTTAATGACAATGGGGAACACAGCAAAGTGTCGTCTTATTTTGGATGAGGAACCATGCGAAGGTAATGTTTCCCAGATGGCAGTTCGACAGTGTTTATCGTCCCACCAAACAACTTCTTTGCCTCGTTGTCATCAATCGTTGGTATCACGACACATTCATCACCACTCTGTTAAAAAATTAAACCAGTAAATAACCGTGGAAACAGAATGATGGCAATAACTGTAAGTTTCTAAGTTCAAAAGTAATCATCAGCATTTTCTGCTTGAAAAAATTTCACGAGTACACTGAGTAGAAACTTTGAAAAATGTCTTAAGTTTATGAATGTCGACTCGAAGATTATTTCACAAATACTCACTTTCCAGTCGACTGGTGTCGCTACTAGTTTAACTGCTGTAAGTTGAAGCGAATCAACAACACGCAAGATTTCACTGCAAAATACGGAGAACATTATAGCTTTTATATATATATATATATATATATATATATATATATATATATATATATATATATATATATATATA